ACAGAAGTTTCTGCTGGCTGGACCTGGAGGGTTAGGTATGTTTGCAAATGTGGATGTGTAGCAGGGTGCTGGTGCAAAAGCACCTAATTACCCCTGCTCAGCCAGCTCCAATCAAGAGAAATAAATTGGGGCTGGTGAAACAGACCTGATGCCTGGCCTGCAGATTGGCTCCACCTGTGGGCCTGACAAGCCAGCAGTTATAAGAGCTGGGAGCCAGCAGAAAAGCCAGCCAGGGAAAAGGTCAGTCTCCGAGCTGCGGGCTGACTGCAGGAAAAGAGGGAACTAACCTCGCACGCCTTGTATATAGCTCAACACTGGTGGTGGGAGAACTGTGTGTGTAAATAAAGCCACGGGTGCTGCATAACTGGAGGCCTCTCTGCACTTTATTGGGACAGCCAGCGGGCCCAGGAAGGGGGGCAGGGCAGTGGACTCGTCACAGGATGGCATTTCCCAGAGTGCTCCGGTGCACTGGTCGGAGCATGTGATTGGAACAGCCCTGTGTTTTCCTTACGGAGTTGCTCTAGATGAAGAGTTTATTACAGTGCATACCATGCTGGGTCAACAAGGAAAACAGACCCTACCTTTTAAGGAAGGCCACATCCTACAAGACGTTGAAGGTAAGGTAATTGTAGCTACCAATAAAGGTGTGTACAACTTGGTGCCATTACCTTTGGAAAGGCAGATTCAAGAACTTCTAACCAGTCACAGAGTGAAAGAAGCCCTAATCTTAGTAAAGGGAGCCCGAAGGAAAACATAAAAAAGCAGCCAGTTGTGAACCGAGTGAGCGGCGAACAGAGGACAGGTAAACAGAGGGAGTTCGCTTGGGGGGAGTTCCCACAGAGTTTTTTTGTTGGGTGTTTTTGCTTTTCAGGCTTCTGTGAGCAGTAAATACAACACTGAAGAGTCTCTTAGAAGGAAGACATTATGGGATAGTGAGCGATCAGCTGTTGTGACCTGCACAGGATGTGCCATGTTTGTCTTTCTCCCAGAGGATAGAAGCGACTTCACCTGTACGAAGTGCAAGCTGGTCTCCATATTGGAAGAGAAGGTTAAAGGACTAGAGACCCAAGTATCAACCCTGTGTTGCATCAGAGAAAATGAAGATTTTTCTGGATAGAAGACAGCGCTTGGTACAGCATGCTGAAGAATCAGAGGATGCAGTGCAGAACAGGGAAGAAAATTGGCAGCATGTGACCTCCAGAAGAAGAAAGAGAATCCATGTACCCCTAATGCAGATAGAGGTGCAAAACCGTTTTCAGGCTCTCTGCACAGATACTGCTGCGGAGAAGGATTTGGAAGAGCCCTCTGAGGGAAGGTATCAGAAGGAGACCCTGTTGGCCGGAAAGCATGGGATGCATTGTCGTAGGGATGGGGGTTCCACGACCACCACTCCCAAGAGGAGGAGACGGGTGGTGGTGGTCTGGGACTCCCTCCTAAAGGGAACGGAGTCATCCATCTACAGACCAGACTGGAAACTCGAGACGTGTGCTGCTTGCCTGGAGCTAGAATTCAGGATGTGATGGAGTGTCTGCCAAGACTGATCAAGCCCTCGGACCACTACCCATTCCTACTTCTTCACATGGGCACCAATGATACAGTCAAGAATGACCTTGAGTGGGTCACTGCAGACTATGTGGCTCTGGGAAGAAGGATAAAGGAGTTTGAGGCGCAAGTCCTGTTCTCGTCCATCCTCCCTATTGAAGGAAAAGGCCCAGGTAGGGACCACTGAAATGTGGAGGTAAATGTGTGGTTGCGCAGGTAGTGTTGGAGAGAGGGCTTTGCATTCTTCGACCATGGGATGTTGTTCCAGGAAGGAGAAGTGCTAGGAAGAGATGGGATCCACCTAACGAAGAGAGGGAAGAGCATCTTCACAGGCAGGCTTGCTAACCTAGTGAGGAGGGCTTTAAACTAGGTTCGCCGGGGCATGGTGATCTAAGCCCAGAGGTAAGTGAAGAAGTGGGATACTGGGAGGAAAAACAAGGAGGAGGGTACAACAGGGGAGGCCTCCTGACTCACACTGAGAAAGTAGGGCAATCGGCGAGTTATCTTAGGTGCCTGTACATGAACGCAAGAAGCCTGGGAAAGAAGCAGGGAGAACTGGAAGTCCTGGCACAGTCAAGGAACTATGATGTGATTGGAATAGCAGAGACTTGGTGGGGTAACTCACATGACTGGAGCACTGTCATGGATGGGTATAAACTGTTCAGGAAGGACAACGGGAGAGAAAAGGTGGATGAGTTGCACTGTATGATTGCTCAGAGCTCCAATATGAAACTGGAGAAAAGCTTGTTGAGAGTCTTTGGGTTAAGTTTAGAGGCGAGAGCAACAAGGGTGATATTGTGGTGGACATCTGCTATAGACCACCAAACCAGGAGGATGCAGTAGACGAGGCTTGCTTCTGAAAACTTGTTAGTTGTCCGATTACAGGCCCTGGCTCTCATGAGGGACTTCAATCACCCTGATATCAGCAGTGCACAGACAATCCAGGAAGTTTTTGGAGAGTGTTGGGGACAACTTCCTGGTGTAAGTGCTGGAGGAACCAACTAGGGGCCGTGCTCCTCTTGACCTGCTGCTCACAAATGGGGAAGAATTGGTAGGGGAAGTAGAAGTGGGTGGCAACCTGGGCAGCAGTGACCATGAGATGGTTGAGTTCAGGATCCTGACAAAAGGAAGAAAGGAGAGGAGCAGAATAGGGACCCTGGACTTCAGAAAAGCAGATTTTGACTCCCTCAGGGAACTGATGGGCAGGATCCCCCTGGGAGGCTAATATCGGGGGGAAAGGAGTCCGAGAGCTGGCTGTATTTTAAAGAAGCCTTATTGAGGGCGCAGGAACAAACCATCCCGATGTGCAGAAAGAATAGCAAATATGGCAGGCGACCAGCTTGGCTTAACAGAGAAATCTTCAGTGAGCTTAAACACAAAAAGGAAGCTTACAAGAAGTGGAAACTTGGACAGATGACTAGGGAGGAGTATAAAAATATTGCTCGAGCATGCAGCACAATTGGAGTTGCAGCTAGCAAGGGATATGAAGGGTAACAAGAAGGGTTTCTACAGGTATGTTAGCAACAAGAAGGTGGTCAGGGAAAGTGTGGGCCCCTTACTGAATGGGGGAGGCAACCTAGTGACAGATGATGTGGAAAAAGCTGAAGTACTCAATGCTTTTTTTGCCTCGGTCTTCACAGACAGGGTCAGCTCCCACACTGCTGCACTGGACAGCACAGTATGGGGAGGAGGTGAGCAGCCCTCAGTGGTGAAAGAACAGGTTAAGGACTATTTAGAAAAGCTGGGCAATGAAAATAATTAGAAGGCTGGGGCACATGACTTATGAGGAGAGGCTGAGGGAACTGGGCTTATTTAGTCTGCAGAAGAGAAGAGTGAGGGGGGATTTGATAGCAGCCTTCAACTACCTGAAGGGGGTTCCAAAGGGGATGGAGCTAGGCTGTTCTCAGTGGTGGCAGATGACCGAACAAGGAGTAATGGTCTCAAGTTGCAGTGGGGGAGGTCTAGTTTGGATATTAGGAAAAACTATTTCACTAGGAGGGTGGTGAAGCACTGGAATGGGTTACCTAGGGAGGTGGTAGAATCTCCATCCTTACAGGTTTTTAAGGCCTGACTTGACAAAGCCCTGGCTGGGATGATTTAGTTGGTGTTGGTCCTGCTTTGAGCAGGGGGTTGGACTAGATGACTCATGAGATCTCTTCCAACCCTGATATTCTATGAATATTCCAAAAGAGAAATTTCAGGTAATGTACAAACGAATCTTGCAGCAAGCAGGTTTTATACACTTTGCACAGCTCCAGTTCCTAGAAGCAAAAGAACTCTTCAGAAGCGACCAACTTGATGTCCGGGAGCTGATCGCGCTCTACCCCTTCCTTTTGCCTACTTCCTCTTCATGCATACAGTCTCATCCACTTCTTTACAAGTATGCTGATTTAAACCAGCTGGCCTACGGGGATCAGGAGAAGATGTACAAACGATTCCTCATGAGTTATTTGAATGAAGGCCGCAGCACTGAAGTTGCAAATGGCTACAAGGAAGACATTGCTACAGCTTTGCTCAAGTTATATGCAGAGGCTAATCATGACAGCCTTCTGGATCTACTGGTCTTGGAGAATTTCGGTCTTCTGGCAGAAGTGCAGCTTCTCCAGCCAAGTGCTGGAGAAACACAAAGGATTTTGCACTTGGCCTCCTGTATCACTACACTGGTCAGGAGGCTGCAGCACTTCAGTTATGGGTTAAAATAGTTAATGGAGACATTCAAGATTCTACACATTCAGACCTCTAGGAGTATAAAATAGACTTCCTTACCTTCTGCTTAGACTAAGCACTAGTGTGGAAGTATGGTGAATGGGTTTTACAGAAAAGTGAAGCGGTTGGAGTACAAATTTTATGAAAAAGCCTTTGGAAGAACAAGGAAATAGCTTTAAACCAGATGATGTCATGAAATGCCTTAACCAATACCCCAAGTCATTTGTTAAATATCTGGAGTATACTTAGGCTTGGATAGAAAAATAGAGAACAAAAAGTACCATACCCCTTAGCTGTGTTGTAGCTGGCGGCAGTGCTGCAATTAAAATCTGTGACAATAGACAATTGTGCGGAACAGACTGAAACACAGACTAAGTTACACAGTCTTCTTCAGAAATCTTACTTTTATAGAATTCATTTTATTTTAGATAAAATCAAGGGGACAGATTTTCATATGGAAAGGGCAATACTATATGGGAAACTGCAAGAATATGACAGTACTGATGGACTCTCTTGAATGTGCTCCAGGAAATTCAGTTACACTGGATCTGTTCATACTCTTAAGTTCAAAAAGGGGCTTGTATTCCTCCCTCCAGCTGACTTTGTTTGTCTTAACCAGAGCTTCTGTTTTAGTCAATAGGCAAAACAGTTTCAAGGATAGCCTTGGAAATGAAAGTTGAGCCCAATGTTGCTGGAGGAGCATGAGGCCTTGCAGAACCCACGTTTCATTCTGTATGTGCAGCTACAGTACAAGCAGGTGCCTATTATGGGAGGCTCACATCTGGTTCTGCTTCCCCATCCGCAGGTAGTGGAGTTATAGTGACCCTGTCCTGGAATTAAAGGTGAGCAGGAATTGGTTGTAATTAGCGTAGGCCCAATCTAATGAAGTGTATGGCTGTTCCCTGACAGCCAGCTCTGGGAGGGGCGGAAAATGTAATAGCCATGGGGTGAAGAACATCAAGCAGCACTGATGGTTGCGGTGTCCACTACCACCGCCTACTCTATTCTAAAGAGGAGGGTTTGCTGGCCACATAGCAGCTGTGAACTCCTCAGTCAGCGAGGGGTCTTGTGCAACCTTCCAGCATCGTCGTTGGCTGCTGTATGACTGCATAGGGCCAAAGCTGATAAACTACCCAACTTTACTCCTGGGGGAATTCTGCACCATTGCACATGCACAGAATTTAGGTCCCCTGCAGATTACTTAGCTTCCCTGCAGAAAAATGACTTTCTGCTGCGGAAGCAAAGAGAAGCTATAAGAGCGGTTAGGCAGCCCTTCCCAGCAGTATGTTTTGGGTGCCTAGGGCAGCCAGTAGAGAGGTAAATCACTGAGGCAGGGGCTGGGCCTGGAGAGGACCTGGCTGGTGGCTTCTACCCTGCACCGGGCTCAGGTGCTAGTCCCGGCTGGGGAGGACGGGACTTCCACTTCCCCTGTGTGGCATCTGGGGCTGTGTCAGACCCACCCCCAGATTTCTCCCTCAGCTGCAGGAAGCTCTGAAAACTCTCTCTCCTCTTTCCCCCCCCCCCCCCCCCCGCCCCCAATGCTTCCTGCATCCATCGCTCCTCAGCTGGAGGAGGAGGGATCACTGTACAGGGAGCTGCTCCCCCATCCACCCAACCCCTGTGCATCGACCCCCTCATCCCTAGACCCTTCCGCCAAGCTGCACCCAGAACCACCCCTAACGCGCAACGTGCCCCACTCCCCTTGCACCTGGACCACCCTGACAAGCCACCTGCACCCGGATCCCCACCCTACTGAGTCCCAACTAGCTGCACAAAGATTACCCCTCCAACTGAGGCCCCCACACCCAGACCCCCCTGCTGAGCTCTATGCCCCCCCATGTCCAGACCTCCCCTACTGAGCCCCAACCACCTTCACCTGGACCCCCCCTGCAGAGTCCCATTACCATTACACCCAGAACCCCCCCAACAAGCCCCTGTGATCCAGATCCCCTGAACCCAGATTGCCCCACACTGAACTGCCCACACTTGGATCCTGCCTTGCTGAGCCTGCCTGCCCACATCTGGGGCACCTGGCAGGGATGGGCAGGGCCAGTCCTTGTGCTGGGGCAGGGTTGGGTGCAGCCTCACCACTGAGTCTGTGCCTGGGGGGGTGGGGTGTGGGGGGCTGCACAGTGAACTCACAGCACGAGCAGTTTCTAGTCCTGCAGGGATGAAAAAGGCCAAAGAAATGGCGGGTGTAAGATTACCTGCAGATGTAATGCTATGTGAGCTGGCATTGTTGAGGGTGGGGGGAGGGACTTAGACTGGCAGTGGTCATTCATTCATATTCTCTCTCTCCCCAGTCACCCTCTTAGTCAGTCATTTTTGACTCTGATGCTCAAACTTCAAAGGCAGCAGCTGGATAAATAAGCAAAGCCCCTAGTGGCCCTTCACTTAACCCCACCCCCCAAGCCCAGGCCGTGAGCTGCAGTTCCTTACATCTCTAAAAGCGATGTTGTCAAAGCCTTGGCTGGTGGCTCTCTCCTCCGGCATCCTGCCCGCTGACACCCTCCTCTTCAGCCAATAGCATGTGCTCAAAGCTAGCAGGAGCAGGAATACAGTGGCCAGGAGAATGCCAATCACCATTGCTGCCACAGAGCCTTGGGCAGGGTTCCCATCTGCAAGCGAAGCAAGTGCTGAGCACAGTGGCGGATGACGGCTGGCCTGGGACCCTGCACCATCGCCACCAGGGATGTGAGCTAGGCCCCAGCACCTGGCTTCAGGGGATCAATCTGTAACATGTGGTCCATGCTACTCCTCTCCCAGCACACGAGTAACATGCCCATTCCCCAGCACTGCCTGGCCCAGCGAGCTCTCCTGAGAGCACAAGGGGAGAGGAGTGGCCTAAGGCGGCAGTAACGATCACTGCATGCGTTAACCCTTCAGTGTCCTCACTCACAGGCCTTCTCCTCCTAAGGGTCCCTCATTGGCGATCAGGGACTAGCTCCAGCCCGGGACCCTCCTCCTCTCCCTCCTGAGCAGGCAGCATTTCCTGTTCTCCCCTGGCTGCTGGCCTTGCTTTCCTAGCTCACCCACAAGACCAGCACCAGTGTGCGTCTCCCCCTCCCTGACTGCCCAGGGAGCCCCATTGGCAGAGCAGGCCCAGAAGAGCATTCAGCCTCTCCTCCGCCAGCACTGTCTCCCTCCACATGGCCTTCCCCAGAGCTGTCAGGAAGGGGGCAAGCTGCAGCAGGAGAGAGCAGCCCAGCCCTGCGGGCCAGGGCGAGAGCTCCAGGCGGGCCAGTGTACAAGCAGAAGGGGAAAGGGATATTCTTGTGCTGAAGACAAAGGGGCAGCGGGTCAGGACTCCTGGGTCCTATGCCCAACTCCGCCTCTAATTCCCTGTACAGTCGGTGACTCGTTTCTCTGCCACAACCCCCTGCCCCACCCTGCCCTGCGCCATGGGTCTCACAGATGGGTGGGGAATAGGGGTGCTCCGCAGTAGTGCCTTGCTGAAGGCACAGCTACTCTGACCTCTGGCTCGGTTGGACTTCACCTCACCTTCCATTTGGCCCAAACCGTCGCCATCACAGCCCTCTCCAGCATGGTACGTGATATCATCCAGGGCGACGGTCCCCCCGGCAGGCCACACGCCATTGGTCACTTCAAAGACAATCTGCAGGGAGAGCGGGAATCCAGCCTGAGCCCCAGCACAGCACCCAGGGAAGGGGGATGGGAGAACAGGCGTCCCAGCTCTGGCAACGAGCCAGAATGATGCCTCCAGGGAGGCACTAGCCTCACTGCTCAGCCCCCAGCACTGGAGGGCACTCCAGAGGAAGGGATGCTGGGGCAGCACCCATCCAGGAGAGGAGCAGGGGCCTGACTGCAGGGTGGAGACAGCCCACTGCCCCCTAAGCCAATGGCACCTTGTGACGGGGGGCTAAAGACAAAGGGCCTTGGCAAGGAGCTGAACCCAACCTGCTCAGGGTGGGGGGGGCAGGTTGGTTCCATTGGGTTATTTCCACTGGGGCATCTGAGCTGGTGCTGCCAACCAGCGGCATGGGCAGCATCCAACAGCCCCAGGGCCCCTGCTTCACAAACGCACAGACACCTAAAAACAGTGTGGTTTGAGTGTAGTGCATGAAAAATCTTAGCTCAGTTAATAAAAGCCTGTGCATATGATCTCCACGTTGAGGGAGGGGTGGCCTGGATAATAAACTTACACTGGTCAGGCTTTTGACCAGGGCAGGACGGGACAGTTCTGAGGTCCCAGGCTGAGGAGCTGGAGGGGACTGTCTGGAGCCTCTCTATAGTTAGTTCATGAGTGGCTAAGAGAAACCTTCATGTAACTGCAGCTGGATGTGTCCCTGTTTGTGTATGGCTGTGTGAGTGCAAGTCCTGGAGAGGATTGCAGCTTGTCACAGCCTCACAGTGGGAGAGGGGGCCCAGAGGGCTCAGCGGTTCCCCAGTTCCAGGTTGCACCCCAGGGAAGTCTGTCCAGCGGCGGCTCCAGGCACCAGCGCTCCAAGCGCGTGCCTGGGGCGGCAAGCCGCGGGGGGTGCCCTGCCGGTCCCTGCGAGGGCGGCAGTCAGGCAGCCTTCGGCGGCCTGCCTGCGGGAGGTCCGCCAGTCCTGCGGACTCAGCGGCGGGTACGCCAAATCCGCGGGACCGGGGACCTCCGCAGGCAGGCCGCTGAAGGCAGCCTGCCTGCCGTGCTTGGGGCGGCAAAAAAGCTAGAGCCGCCCCCGAGTCTGTCACAATGCGGTAATTGCTCTTACTTCCCACCGTGGATTGGCTGGGCCTGGGCTCAGAGGGCACTACCCCCATTTCAAAGGGGAAAGGTCGGTGGTGGGGTGCCTGCTCACAGGCTAGGGACACCCTGCGCCTGCCCCGCTCAGCTCGCCCCAGTGCCAGCTGCCTGCTCGCAGAACAGGGATGCCCTGCATCTGCCCCACTTAGCGCCCACTTGCAGGCCAGGGATGCCCCCAGCACTCAACCTGCCTGACTCTCCCATGGTGAGCCAGCAGGTGGGCTCCTCCATCACTAGCACTCCACCTTCCTGCTGGCTGCGTCTCTGCTACCCCCAGCTGTCAGCGTGGGAGATCTGCTGGCAGGGCCATGCCACCGCTCTCCAGACAGCTCTGGGCATGCCCCCCACCATTACCTGAAACTCCACAGTGTTCTGCACTGAGATGGTCCTGTTCCACCAGCCTCGGCCCTGGGGCCCTCGGGCGCTCCAGACTGTTAGTTCCCCTGCCAGGCTGTACAGCTTCACCCTCAGCTCGCCGCTGTCTGGTCCAGAGATGGAAGCGGGGGCCAAGGTCAATGCAGACACCCAGGGACAGCAGCCCAGAGCTCAGCCTTTGCCTGGGCTAACCCCACCACGCACAGGGCCCAGAGCAGTTCAGACATTGGGGGGTAAACCTGAGCACCCCCCCCAGAACCAGAGAGGGAAACTGAGGCATAGGGAGAGCAGTAACTTGCCAGGGTTACACAGCCAGTCAGTGTCGGGGCTGGGACTAGAACCCAGGAGTCCTGGCTTCCAGCTCCAACCCCTACACCTGACTTCTTGTGCAGCATCATCCCCCCCCCCCCCCGCTGCCATTCCCAGCGGCATCAGCTCGGCTGGCTGGAGCCCCTGGGCCAGGGCAGCAGGCAGGGACGAGTCCCGCTGCCCAGGCAGACCAGCTTAGGCTGACAACCTTGCCCACAAGCACCTGTGCAGCTGCTCTTACCAGCGGGGTGGGGCCTCCCCATAACTAGTGCCCCAGGGCTCCTAGAACAGCCCGGCCAGCCCTCAGCTTGGCTGACAAGTTGCTCTTGGCTTCATCAGCTCGTTGAGAGAATTCCCTCTTGCCCAGGATTTAGCCCCAGGTTGGGAGCTTCCCAACTCCCTGCTCTGCTTCTCCCCAGCTGGAGTAGCACGACTGCGGATCCCCTGCCCACAGCTGGCCCCAGCCCTTTGCCTCTCACGCGCCAGCCCTGGCCCTTTGTCCACCCCCCATGCCAGCCCTGGGGGCGAAGGCCCCAGGCTCGTGGCAGTAGGCGTCACTCACAGAAGTGCTCTGGGAAGTCCATGTGGTACCAGAACCGAAGGCAGGCGCCCGTGGTGGCTGGCAGGTGCTCGCTCAGCAGCCAGGCGGCATTCCCCCCGGGACCCAGCACGCTGGCGTCAAAGGAAACGTAGTGACCTGTGGGGGAGATGTAGCAGGAGTGCAGGTGCCAGCCTCCTTTGGCAGGCCAGGTCGGATGTGCCCACCCCTCATCTCCCTGTGTCCTGCCCACCGTGGCCCAGGGCTCCTCATCTGACCCTGCCCAAGCCCCTCGGGTTGACTCCTAGGCAGCGCTCTGCTTCACCGGCCTGTTGAGGGGACTCCTAGGACACTCCCTTCCCCAGTGGGCAGCCACAGGACCCCTCACCCCCAAGGGGTCCACAGGCAGGGCCAGGCAGAGGCACGTTGGTGCAGAAGGGCAGGGATGTGCCCTGCTGCTTCCTGAGCCAGGCTGGTGCTGGGCAGAAAGAGGGTGTCAGAGTCCAGGGCTGCCCACACAGCATGCGAAGGGAACTGGCCAGCTGGGAGCCTGGCCAGACCCAGACAGGTGGAACTGCCCAGGTACCCATGGGCGGGAGGTGTTGCACTCCATGTTCCCTGCAGTGGGCCCCAGTTCCCCCCAGCTAGAAACCTGAAGTCAGACTCCACAGAAGGGCTCGGTGCCCTCCCCCCGCACCTCGGCCAGAGCGCCATGGGCTCAGTGCCTCCCCCCCCCAGCCCGGGTCAGAGTGCCATGGGCTCAGTGCCCCCGCCCCCAGCCCAGCCCAGGTCAGAGCGCCATGGGCTTGGTGCTCCCTCCCCTTAGCCTCTCTGGCCCTCTGAGTCCCAGAAGCGTCTCTCTGCTCCCCCCAACTCATGGGGCTCAGTTACCCCACCATTTCCCCACTCGCCTGTGACCCTGATGGGCTCCCTGGGTCAGGGCTGGTGGCTGGGCACTGCCCAAAAACCGAGCTCTGAGCTGGGGCTGTTGCAGGGTCAGTGGTGGTCGTTGGGGTGACTCATTGCCAGAGCCGGCTCCAGGCACCAGCGCAGCAAGCAGGTGCTTGGGGCAGCCAATGGGAAGGGGCGCCACATCCGGGTCTTCGGCAGCAATTCGGTGGCGGGTCCCTCAGTCCCTCTCGGAGGGAAGGCCTGGCCGCCGAATTGGCGCCGAGGAATGAAGCGGCGCGGGAGAGCTTTATCTTTTTTCTTTCTTTCTTCTTCTTCTTCGCTGCTTGGGGCGGCAAGAAAGCTGGAGCCGGCCCTGCTCATTGCACCATCACTCCCAGCAACGCCAGCCACCGCATGCCACTGCCAGCCGCAGAGAAAGGGGGGCTGCCCGCAACCAGTGAGACAGTCGGGCCACCGCAGCGCCAGCCCCGCAGCGTGGCCCCCAGCCAAGATCCAGGCTCCTGGGTGTGCTGAGAGCCGCTGAGTGCTGTGCTGAGCTGCAAGTCACACTGGGCAGAGCTCAGCCAGCCCCAGACCAATTCCTGAGTCAATCAGCATCTCTTCCACCCAGCCCCAGAGACGAGGCTTGAGTCCCCAGTTCGGTGGAGCCGGGCCAGGACGGAGGAGTGGATCTGCCTCCCTCACGCGCAGCACCCCAGCCCCTCCAGAGGCTCTGGCCCGGCGCTCCTGGCCATGCTGGGCACTGTCCTGAAGTGAGGAGCCTCCCTGCCCAAACCCTGAGTCTCCCAGCCCCTTTCTCTGCTGCCCACCCCCTCCCAGGAAGGCTGCATGGTGAGGGCTACCTGCTCAGCTCCCCAGCCCTGCCCATCAGTGTGTGGGTCCCTTCGACCCCCCGCCCAAGGCCAGTCAGGACCCTCCCCCCAGGATGCCTCCACCCAGCAGCCCCATCTCTGCTCCTACCTGGCCAAGAGTGCCTCTCACCTGCTGTCGTGCCCAGTGTGTGGTCCACCTCGGGGCCCGGGCTGGCCCCGCTCCTCCAGCCCCAGGCGTAGCTGCCCAGGGTACGGTCTGAGGGGCTGGTCCAGCCACAAGTGTCTGACTCAAAGTCACAGGAACCTGCCAGCAAGAGACCCCCTGCCCCATTACAGGAGCATGGCTCATGGTGCCACCGGGGCATCCTCTGGGCCCACCCTGCACTCAGTGGGAGGAGGGATCAGGCCCTTGGCAAGACCTCTCTGGGGCAGCCCCATCCCTACGAGCCTGGGCTGCTAGACAGGAAAACAGCGGCAGGCCTCTAACCAAAGGGACAGTCATCACCTTGCCCCCAGTGTAAATCTGTGCTGGGAACACTGGAACTGCCAGGCTGGGAAGGCCCATCAGCCCCTCCAGCCTGGGCCTGTCTCTAGCAGTGGCCAGCATCAGATGCTGGAGGGAGAGGGGGGTTTATAACCCCTCAGTGTACAGCTACATCTGTATGTGGTACTGCATGAGCTCCCCTGCCTCCAGCCAGCACCTCGGAGCCCTCCAGCCTCCAGCCCTGGCCCAGTGGTAGTAGCTGATGTGACTGTCCCGAGATGTGGGAGAAGCCGAATGAAGCTGCTGTCTGAAGCGCTGCGTTTTGCGAGGTGGGACAGCTGAGCCACAGGGCCTGGGGCGGCTCCCTCAGGCTGGCACAATGGCAGCTCTGGCCTGTGGCACAGGGGCCGGGCAATGCCAGGCACGGAGCGACGTGGGGCTGGGACGAGAACCTGCAATGCCAGTCACCAAATGCTGGTCACTGTCCACTTCCGCTGGCCTGGGGCAGAGTCAGGGGCGGCGAATTATATGGACCCGTGGTGCCCGGGCTCCAGCAAATTCAGAACCCGGGGTCCTGGCTCCACCAATGTTCGGGGCAGGGTCTCTCCCCCGGCCCCGCCTGCCGCCCCGCGCGCCTCCCTTGGAGCGTCCCTGCCTGCGCCCTGGGCAGCAGGTGGTTGCCCTGCTGCTCCGCACTGCGCTCCCTCGCCGGCCACTGCCGGCTACAAAAGGGAGCGGCACCGGCGGCTGGCTGAGCTGCGGAGGGAGCAGTGACGGTGCCGGGTGAGTGTGCTGCTGGGGAGGGGAAGAGGGGGCTCCTCCCCCAGAGCTCGCTGCTGCCTGCGGGGAGAGGGCTGGGGGGACTGTGGAGTCCTCCTCTCTGGTCCCAGCCCCGGGGCAGCCTGACTGCACCCCAAACTTCTCCTCCCCAGCCCCGCCCCACCCCCCCCCCAGATCCCCCCGCCCCAGCCAGCACCCTCATCCCCCCACACCCCAACCCTCTGCTCCACCCCAGAGCCCTCATTCCCCCCCCCCCACACACACTGTGCAATATAGGGAAACTGTTAAGCGCTTATTGTTTCCAGTCCATTTTTACATTATTTTAAAACATATATATAAGCTT